CTGTGTAGTCTATCAGTACAGAGAATACTCGGGCAACTGAAAAATCCACCTACCATAAGACCCAGCAATACCACTTCTAGGAATATAGCCCAAACACCTGCTACACAAGAAAGCAACATGCACCCCTATGTTCACAGCAGCACAATCAATAATCACAACTAAAATGCCCATCAACAGAAGACTAGATAAGGAAACTATGGTTCATCTACTCTATGGAATACTATTCGGCTATTTGAAAAAAAAAAATGGAATGCATTTCTTCATGGCCAAATGGGCCCAACTGGAAACCATGATGCTAAGGGAAATGAGCCAATCCCAAAAGGTCAGATATCATATGTTGGTCTTAATATGCCAAATCTAAAACTTGTATCTGTAAATTGTAGCTTATTGTACTTCCTAGCTGTCTGTACCACATGCAACAAGATCTTGTGATGTAACCTATTAATTAATCATTCATGAGAGACTGATTGTGTGTGATCAGGTGAGATTGTTAAGATCCCTCTTATCACTGTTATTATTATCACCCATGGGTAACGATGATTCTAGTCTGTACCGTACTCCCATTTGAACCACACGGATCATACACTAGTATTAATTTCTGCAGGAAGATACTGGACAATCTTTTGTACCACTCTAGCATCACATTGACACCCCTGCTACAAGTTTGACAACACCATGGAAATGAATACTTACTATTTTATTTTTATTTTTTCCAGACACCTCAATGGCAGTATAATGGACTCTGAGTATACTTGAAAGATACCTATTGACAGTCTGCAGAAGAAAATAATGGTGGTGGGGGGGAACCCCAATGCCTATTAAACTGTGTCATAAAATAAAGAATAAAAAAAACATTATCCTAATCACAAAAGTGATTCAGATCAGCTGGGGCTAGAGTGTCCCTGTTTCTCTGTTTTGTCACTGCTGCAGCACTGACCTCTATACTGAGCCTCACTGGGGGCAGTCTAGCAGCTACTGTATGTGAGATGTCAACACCCACGCGATTTCTGTTTACTAAAGCATTAGCAGAAACATATATTGAAAACTATACCACCATATAATAGGTCCCAGATGCGTTTTATATTTTTTTAAGTGAAAAAAAAAAAGATATTTGGAAGAAAAGCACCCAAAGAACATTTTCTGTCAATCTGATTGGGTTTGGTGGTAATTCATCAGAGTGAAACAACGCAAGCCCGGAGTTTAAATGCACTGGGATTAAGAACTGGTTCACTTTGTTTAAGTTCAGCCAATGATTACAGAGGCTTCCTGGGATCACCTGTGTTATCTCCTCCCTGTGCCTTTTTGGTTGTCGTCCCAGGTTTTTAAAGGTCATTAAAGGAAGGTCCAGAGGAGACAGGAGTCACTCAGACCACTGAGAATAAAAGCGGATTCCATCCTGGCCCATCGTACTCTCCAGTCCATAGGGCTACTGATCTTAAAGATGCCAAAGCAGTTGTGAGGTCCATAAACAGAAGTAAAACATTACGTTTAAAAAGTACGGGCCGTTCCGTGTAAAGATGAAATCTTACCTGGAGGGTTCCCGTAGCTGGATCAGTAACATCTGGTCAGTGGATATCACCAACACAGGGGTTTTTACCTTTGCCGCCATCACTCAGGAAAATTTTAATGTCTTGTCAGCTGTGTTTTGGAACATGGTAGATGTGTCTGTAGGTGAAAGAAAATTAAAAAAAAAAATCTTTACCTATCCTGAAATGAACAAAAGGTAATGTCACTGCGGAAATGGACCATTCGCATATACAGTGATCAATGTGGTCGTCACTGGTTTTGGGTCACGTTCTCGATGACTGATGTCTGCCTCTACAAAGTTAAGCAGAGAAGTAAGTGACCAGATACTCTGTGAATCCATCCTCCAAACGGATTCATGAGACTTCAGGACATGACAAAGTGGTGGCTACAGCATGAAGTTGATGACAAGGCCTGCTGTGCTCCCCCCCCACACACACATCTTAACCCTTGGACTGTTTCTTCTCTAGAAGTTCCTGTAGGACTCTGCGTTTGGAGCAACAGTGCTTTGCTCTGCAGAGACTTTCTTTATGAGTCCTATGAAAGGATTTCTTGAGGAGAAGGAGGAGGGAAAATAGTCTAAGATTTCTACCTATATCTAAGGCAAAAAGAGGTTGCTGGTGAACCTGCAGGTGCCGGAGCGTGGATACTGTTTAAAATGTAACCCAAGTCAGGCCCAGCACAGTAGCTTAGTGGCTAAAGTCCTTGCCTTGGTCACGTTGGGATCGCATATGGGACTGGTTAATATCCTGGCTGCTCCATTTCCCATCCAGCTCCCTGCTTGTGGCCTGGGAAAGCAGCAGAGGATGGCCCAAAGCCTTGAGACCTTGCACTTGTGTGGGAGACCTAGAGGAGGCTCCTGGCTTCAGATCAGCTCAGCTCTGGCTATTGTGGCCACTTGGGCAGTGAACCAGCAGATGAAGATCTTTCTCCCTGTCTCCCCTTCACTCTGTAAATTTCACTTTCCAATATAAATAAGTATTAATAAAATAAAATGTAACCCAAGTCAATACTCTCCTACTTGCCACATCTGGGCTAGCTCCAGCCCATGGAGAAGGAATCCAGGCAGCTAGAACTTTGCTCATTTTACTCTATGAAACATTTACACTCTGCCACAGTTCACAGGAGGCTTAAGAGACTGAATTTAAAGCCATTTACTAAATGGCAGTCCTATGATCTGGACCCACTAAAGGACTGCATGGTGAGATGGACTGAGCAATCTTGATGGAAGATGTGGACTGAAAAAGGACAGGATTCTAGATTGTAGCCAGGGATGGATGCCCAAGAATTTTACCGTCTTCCTGGGGACAGGAGGAGCATCAACAGGGGAGGGCTGTATTACTGTCCAGAATGTCTCAGTGACTTCCCCAGGGCTCCTGGCACTTTACCCACTCCACGAGTCTTTCTGCTGCATTTCTGGGCGTTAGGGACCCGTTACTGTCAGCCTCTGCTTAGACTAAATCTTTTCTACAACTTATTATTCCATCACGGGGTCCTGCCTTCTATCTAAGATTCCCTGGGGTTGACCTTTGGCTCACACAGAAAATCTGGGTGTGTCATTCCGTTCTCTTTTAGCTGTGACCTTCTGACAGATCCCACCCAAACCCTACCACCTATTCTGCCTTCTAAACCCTGGCCAGGGCAGGTGGAGGGAGTCTTCATGTGGTCAGAAGAGCTCGGCTAATAGCATTATTCCTACCGGTAGCATTGCCATTTATTGAGCCTGAGACGAAGTAGTGTATTAACATTATTTCATATTATCCCATATTCTTTCATATTATCATAACTATGACATAAGCAAGGATCTTCAGTTTCATCTGCAGATGAGGGAAAAAAAAGGCTCAAGTAATGTACCTAAAGTGGTGTAGCACAAACGGGAGATCTAGAATTCAAGCTCACCTTTATATCAGAAGCACAACACCCTATTGACTTATAACCTGGAAAGCTGGCAGCATCTACAGGTAAGGCTTTGGGAACTAACTGCTCCCATTAGCAAGACATACCAGATATACTGGTAGGATTAGAGCTGCAGCTAGGGTCACGCTCAAATGGTTATGAAAGCTAAGAAGTCCCAGAACCTGCAAGTCAGCAGAGTCAAGATCTAGAATAGCTGACAACTCAGTTCCTGTCCTGAGAACCGTGAGAGCTGATGATGTCAGCCAGAAGACAGGCAGGCAGAGAATAAAGGAATATTCAGTCAGTTTTGTCCTGTTGAGGCCTTTAGTGAATTAGACAAGGTGCACTGATACTGCTGTACTCAGCCTGCCCAACCACCTGCTAGTCTAACCTGGAAACAGCCAGAATAATGATGACACAGCTATCTAGGCAGCCCAAGGCCCTTTCAAGTGGACACTTAAAATGAGCAATCCTATCACTCCAGATGAAGAAAATCCTCTTCTGCACCATGGACATGGATTCTCTGTCTCTGCTAATTATTAAAGAACGGCGCTAAGGGGAAAGAACTGCCCCATCCCCATGCTGCCACCCCTTTCTCTTGTACTCAAAGCTTGTAGCCACGTGGGACAGTCACCTACAAACCTGTGCTTCCTAGGTCAAAGGAAATGAGGGAATCTCCACCAAGTGGTGTTTTAGCATCCAATACAAACCATTCTGGCAAAGTTAGGCCAGAGTTGGAACAAAATCTTCTCAGACAAAATAAGCTGTCTCCCCTATTTCTCTCTTACACACCACCTTGATGCACTTTCCAACTACAGCTGCACGTGGGAAATGAGAATTTGCCATGTTGAAGAACATGGACTTCCTCTTTCTATACCTCACATGTGCACCTGCAAGTAGAGTGTGACAGGGCCCGGGCATATTTCACAGCCCATCTGTCCACTCAGCCCCAGCCCCATCCATGCAGAGGGCAACCAAGGAATATTCTCCCACCAGATGGCTCTGACATGGGAGCTGGCTTCCTGTCCCTGGTGATAGTGGCAACTGTCCAACAAACCCTTCCCGTCACTCCTCAGGATGCATCCTGTAAGTTGCTTAAGAGAGATGAAAACACATTGCTCCTGATCCATCCCTGAAGTCTCTCCAGGTCTCCCCATCATTTCTGAAAGGCAGCCTCAAGGCCCATGTAGCTCAAACTGTGAAGCTCACTTGGGCCTACAGCATCTGCCTTCCTGCCTGGGAGCTGTATCAGGGACTTATTTTTATAGCCTTCGAGTCTGCCTCAGGGACCGAGGCTTGAGACCAGCTTAAAAACTCAGAAGGAACAATTTTACAAGTAGCAGCTGAAATCTTGGAGCAGGTGATCTAACATCCGGAGCACTTAACCACTCTGGCAAAGAAGTGCTTTCTCATCCTTTTAAAAATCATGTTGTCAGTGGGAAAGAGGAAGAGGAAACCAACAGAGTTTTGATGCTGCTTACAAGTCCATTTCCTGCCTTCATTCTCAGAGTTCCTCTGAATGCTTTGGCTGCTAGATTTAGAAACTACACTATAAATACAAACAATATACTGACGCAGCATTGGGGTTCACTTTGGAGCTCCTCCTTGGCAACGACTGGCAGGTGCTTTCCGAACTGCCTGATTTGCCTATCCTGTCCTTGGGTCAGACCAGACATCCAAAAGACCAATCTTTCTTTTCCCCAGTGGCCTGGTTGCCCCCATCTGGAGGTCAGTGGCTGGAATCTGCACTTCTGGAAGAGAACATTTCCCACAAAACCTCTTTCAAGTTCTCCCTTCTCTAAGCTCTTTTTGAACTCTCTGCTCCCCTTCACTCTCTTTCTGCCTCCAATCAGCCACACTCCAAGTAGTAGATAAGTGGGTGCAGTAGAAATTGCTGGGTGATATAACAGACTGAATATTTATGTTCTGTCTACATGCGCACATTGAAGTCATAATCTTCCAATGCAATGGATATTAAGGGGTTAGGGTCTCCAGAAAGTGACGACATCAGGAAGGTGTAACCCTCATGGTTGGGATTTGTAAAAGAGACCCCAGAGAGCTCCGGGTCCTCTTTTTTGCTATGTGAGGATGCACAAGAAGTTATGCATCTATAACCTAGATAAGGGGCTTCACAGGAATCTGACCATGCTGGCACCGTGGTCTCAGCCTTGCAGTCTTCACAGCAGAAATAAATTCCTCTTGTCCAGGCGCCAGCAGCTTGGGCTAAAACAGCGTCTTGGGTGAAGTCTGGATAAAATCAAGAGTCCTTGTGACCATCAGGTCCCTACTGTTTTCCTGAACGGTAAATGAGTTACCTGTGAGCATCTCTGAGAGGGCACCCACACCTGATGGTGGTCACCCTACAAACAGCCCATGACTTGCTTTTAGATCACCAACCTGCAAGCCTGTTGTCCTTCCTTTGTTTCAAAAACACTTTCCCCTGCCCATAAATCACCTATTCGTACATCATGAAAAGTCAAAGGGAACCATATTTCTACACTACTTTAGGTTGACAATCTGTGCAGCTGTTTGGGTTGGCACAGTGATTGTCATTTGGTGGTGGGAGAGCAGGTAGGCTGAAGAGTTTAGGGAACAGCTGCCCAGAGTGCATGCAAAGGTGCTTAAGCAAGCATTTGTTTACCCCAAGAGTATGACCATGGCCATGGTTTCCCTTCCTAAGGCCTCAATTCTTAGAGGAGTAACTTGTTCATCTAAGGCACTTCCTGTGATGCTGACACACACACATGCACAAAAACACAACTTCCTGACAGAGGAATGACAACCAGGTTACAATCAGTCATTCTTCCACTATAAATGGTAACTAATTCCTCAGAAGCAGAGAATGATGGTCAATAAGGTAGACATTATGTTAATTTCTAGATTCCCTCCTTCTGAACACCAGACAGGAATCCATTGTTCTACTCTCTTCAACGTTAGCCATGATCAGATGACTTGCTTGGCTGGTAAAATAGGAGTGGAAGTGATATGTACCAGTCCTAGGGAGAAGCTTTTCTGCTAGCAGGGAGGGGACCATGTTTCTTTCCTGCCTCTGTGGTGATCATGTGACCTCACGATCTGGGTGGGGACTATGTGGTTAGGATGAACAGATACAGCCCTGCTGAGATGTGTTGGGTCTATACATGCCATGTCCTGCCTTGGCAACTGATAACAGAATATGGGAAAGGTGTCACTGCTGGTTTGTTAAGCCAGTGAGACTGAGGGTTCCTTGTTGCCACTGTAACACTTTCTGTTATCTGACAGCTACAGTCTAATCTAGAGTTGACAAGGGAAAGAAAAAGCAAGTCCTACCAATTTCGTTAACAACTAAAAACCAAGAGGTGAAGGGAAATAACACTAAAGGACTATTAATTTAGTCTAGACAATACTAGAGCACAGCAATCTTCCCCATGGAATGTGAAGGGACTGGGTGGTGGAAGAGCACCTGCTGGCCTAAACCTTACAGCTTTACCTGGGCTTGGCCTATCAACCAGCCAGAGTGGGGATGTGAGTAATTTGCTGGCATTTCCATAACAAATATCATTGAGTGTGTAGTTTCAGTCTTACAGTTCTGAAGGGAAATAGTCCAAGATTAAGGTGTTAGCAGAGTTCATTTCTTCCTTAGCATTTCTTCTCAGCTTGACCCTGTGCCTTCAGGTGGTCTCTTTCCCAACCAACAGCATCTGGTGCATGTCTATGCCCGAATTCCCATCAGCCACCGGAGCCCACCCTAATGACCTCATTTTGCCCTGATTACCTCTTTAAAGACTCTATATCTTTAGAGCCAGGTTACATGCTCAACTAACCGGGGTTAGTATAACAGCACATTTGGGAAAGAGGAACACAATTCATTCCAGAACAGCAGGTTTCTCCATTGGCAACCCACCTCCAAAGTGAGTGTAGACAAGCCAAGTGAGGGTCTCTGTGAAGCTACTGTGTGCGGCTATTTTTAAATTAACAAAACTACCATTCCTCAACATCAAGAGACTTGAGTGCTCAGAGAGTTTGGATGACCAGCTGGACTATTTCTGACACTGGGGAAGTAGGCAGGAAATTAGGGAGGCTACATTGAGCTGCAATCATTTTTTCATGATTTCTGCATAGTTCTGCATTGTAACCCCAATCCCTTACAACTGGTTTGCCATGATCCACCTGTGTTTCATTAAGCAACCAAGGAAGAACAGATACCATGTTGGCCACGTGGAAGCTAAACACCATGCGGAGACATCATGAAACTCCCAGGAAGCTTCACACACATCAAACCCACTCCTTTTGCTTCTTCAGTTACAGCAATATCCCCTAATCTCGTAAAAGGGACTGACGCATGTGGTAGCACCCTTTTTGCTTTTTGGGGGTTTCCAGACTATGGTTATATGCTTTTGGGTCCTTCTTTGTTCTCATCTCTCTCTCTCTCTTATAGACAGTTATCGAGCCCATGCCTGACAGCTGTCTCTCCATGTGGTGTTGCCCACACTCACACGTAACTATACATTCATTTTTTCTCACATAAATCCTACCCTCATTTCTGTGCTCTATTTATTCCTCTACTTTGAAATTCCTCTACTTTGCAATTATGATACTGTTGCTCTTAATGGTTACATGGGGAGGGACACCCAGAGTAGGGAAAACGTATGCCTGCCCACAGTCCATTCTTAGTCATGCCTACTACTGCTCTACTACCTACTGCAGGGCTTGCCGCATGGAGGCTTTCACTAAGACAGCATCTTACAGATGTGAGACATGTTGTACCTGGTTTGTTTACACCACCTCACTCTGTAATGCACCTGTCTACCTTCCGTCCACTCTACCTCGACATTAGCTCTGCAGGCTGGTAGAATTTGCTTGTACCTCAACTACTCCCTCTCTCGTGCCAAGTTCACTGAGCCTGCCTGAGGGGCTCGTGGTGTTTCAAACTCTAGGTTTACTTTTTGCTTCTGGATTTCTCATACAGCAAATGGGCCTGAGCAAGAAGTATATGCCAGGGCCACTGCTGTGACTCAATAGGCTAATCCTCCACCTTGAAGTGCTGGCACCCCATATGGGTGCCAGTTCACGCCTCAGTTGCTTCACTTCTGATTTAGCTCTCTGCCTATTGCCTGGAAAAGCAACGGAGGATGGCCCACATCCTTAGCACCCTGCACCCACATGAGACACCCAGAGGAAGCTCCTGGCCCCTGGCTACAGAAAGGCTTAGCTGCAGCCATTGTGGTTATTTGAGGAGTGAAATAATGGATGGAAGATCTGTCTCTCCTTCTCTCTGTAAATCTGCCTTTATAATAAAAATAAATATTTTTTAAAAACACCAATGTGGTAAGACAGAGCCTGGCTCAGAACAAAGTATGAAAACCCTTCAGAGGCAGAGCTGGCAGCTGGCTCCCAGGTAACACCAAGCTGCCACCATGACAGCCAGGAGTCCTGCAGTTACACTGGCTTGGTGTGCCAAGTTCCACTGCCTTCAGGATGGAAAATGGACACAAGGGAGCCAGGCCAAACAGCCCCAGCTCTGCCCAAAAGAGCCAAAGGAGCCTTCTGAAAGATTAATGGAGCACTCAGCCTGAGTTTCTTCCTGACAGAGAGGGGCAAGAGCTTTCTGGGGAAAAAAATAGCAGCAGCTTCTGGAAGGGAGAAGATTGAGGCTTAGGCTGGGACCTTGGTGCTTTTCTCAGTCTTTGCTTTATATTCTCCCATAGGCTCTCACCCACTTGCTCCTCCTGCTTTGTCTGCCCATTCCTTTTTTGGGGAGTGGGCATTTGGCCTTCCCGAAATTATTTCTGTCTTCCTGGCCCGCCCCCTCACTGTGATGTATCATTCAAGCTTTTCCCCCACTCAGTTAAGGACATGAGAGACACTGTATATGGCAGCGAGATTGAAATGCAGCCTGGACTCACAGCTCTGCTTTGTGAATGACTAGCAAGGATGTAGAAAATAAGGGTGGTGTTTGTCCACTTGGTGGCGGAGCAGGGCGGGGAGATGGAGGGAAAAATCTCCTCCCTACTAAACATGATGCTAATGGTGATGTCAGTCCTGCATGGGGGGCCCTGCTCTACCACCACACTCCACACCTGATCAGAGCCTGCAGATTTGCCTGATGCAGTGATTGGTCCAACACCACCAAGCAGGGCCAATCAGTGTCCTCTGAGGATCACTCTGGGCTCTAAGCTAGAGGGACCAGGACAATCCATGGCTTCTGGGAAAGTCTGCTCCCCCACATGGGGGAGTCTTCCAGAACTAAGCCTGGCTGGTGGCAGAGCATAGATGGGGACATCTGGACCTAGGAAAAGAAGTCTGAACAACAACTCCACTCCTGGCTTCCCAATGGGGTTTTTGTTTTATTTTCAGATTGTTGGAGGTTTTGTTAATAAATCACAGTTTCATATACTTGGGCCATACAAAATAATCACTATTTTGTCTTACAAAGCAAATGATTCAGTCAAGCTAATTAATATGTATTGACTCAATATTTTCTGTAGTTACAATGCTTGGAGTATACTGTTACTACATCACAAACTTCAGTATAGACTTCAGTATGCCACAAGTGGATTCTGAGAAAAGAAAGAAAAATTCAGACTTAGTCCTCCAGAGGCTAAGTGGCCCTTGAATATCCTCATCCTACTCCTTGCCATCTAGTAGCTGTATTTCTACTGTCTTCTATGAGTGAATTGCGCCTGTGTTAATAAGATGACAACAGGCTGCCTATCATTTCAGTGTTTAAGCCCTGTATTCCTGGTTGCACTTGGTTAGAGAGGCCGTATAGCTACCAAAGACTCTGACTCTGAGATGTTCTTGAACTTTTCAGGTCACATCTTGCCTTCAATGCAACATCAAATGGACTGAGGCCTCAGATTTTGAAAATAACCTACCCTGGATTGCTATCATAAGCTTTCAGGAGAAACCAAAAGCAGCAGAAAGAATTGTGAAAGCCTTTATGAATGTTAATTATAGTCAGAGTCAGGAAATGCAACAGGATGCAGGGACTCCTGTGGACAGGAGTATAGTAGCAGCTAGCATGAGAGTAGACTTCATTGCAATGACCAACTCCCAGATCTCAGTGACTCGCCCACGAACATCTATTTTGCCCACCACAAATCCCATGACTCCCTCCCAAGCAGTACTCAGCGGCCTGCTACGGTCCCCCCTGTGATTCAGGTATCTCCACACATGGCTTCTGGGATCCCTGAGTTGAGAACAGGACCCACAGACTTCTAATGAAGCTTTTCACTACCTTCACCTAGAGAGGATGTTACTTCTGTCTGTTGTCCTTTGGCCAGAAATAGCCACTTGACTTTCCCAACTTGCTAGAAGGTGGGGAGAGCCCTTGTTTCCAGAGCAATCATCCAGTGTCTCTGTCCTGGGTGTGGAACTTAGATCCATTAGTGACATTTAATTCAGTTACTAGGACAGTTCTCTAAATGCATGAGATGCTCATGCTTTTTCTGCAGGTCTATCCTGGAGACTGTGGCAGGAGAGAGAGAAAGGGACAATAGTGACTTGCTCGTTGATGTGGCCTTAATTTCCTGGGGAGACAACTTGTAATTCATACTTGATTCTTAGAGAACAATGCTTTTTAAAAAAATACTACTTAAGTTTTTCATTTATAGTTTATTTGAAAACAACGAGTAAGAGAAAACAAAGATTTCCTGTCTGCTGGTTCTCTCCCCAAAATACCTGCAGTAGCCAGACCTGGATCAGGCCAAACGTAGGAGCTTAGAACTCCATCTGGGTCTCCACTGTTGGTCGCAAGGGCCAAAGTTCTTGGGCCATCACCTGCTGCCTCCCAGGGTGCACATTAGCAGGATTTTGGAATTGGGAGAACTAGGACTCAAAACTTAAGCACTCCACACGGATTTTAGGTGTTCCAAGTAACGTCTTGATTGCTATGGCAAATTTTTCTCCTCCCCTTAATACTTACTTTAAAAAGATATCATAAAATAATAATTAATCAACCTATATACAAATTCCAGTTATTTCACCAACTAATCTGTGACCTTGAGTGTCTAACTTCATTTCTCTGGTTCTCCTTTTGCTCACTGGTGCTTTGGGAACAGGGTTAATTCGTATTCTTCAGTGGAGTTATTGTGATGTCTGAAATACTCAACAGAGTCCTAGTGCTCACGGCAGGTGCCAAAGAAGGAACCTGCATGAGTAAATGAACCGCTTCCTATTTAATCTGATATCAACAGGTAATAACTTGATGCTTAACAGAACAGAGAGTCATTTGATCAATGAGAATGTCATGTTTGATAAGTTCGTTCTTGCATGGACATTTTTTTTTTCAAAGAAAACAATTCTATTCCACTGAGGTGTTATGGAACTCAGAAATCTATGAAAGTGCCATGTGAATGTAAGATTATGGCCAGGACTGGCTTCATAGGTATGCGACCTGTACAGTTACCTGAGGCCCTATCCTTCAACAAATCCCAAGTTGGGTCCAGCATTTGCTATTGCTAACTTGAATTTCTTGATCATTTTCAACCTAGGAGCTTTTTTGTTTCACATTGAGGTCTACAAATTATTTAGCTAGTTCTGATTTTGATTCAAAATGTTGTTCATTTTTATAAAAGAAAGGAGTTTTGGGTGACTTTTCTGGCCCCCTTCAGACCTAAAATTACATGATTCTAAAAATTATTCCAAATGCCATACCAATTTTACCTGTTTACTTTTATAAAATACTTCTACTTCGACTACTCTTCTATTATGATTCAGATTTTTGTTTTAAGTATCTGTTATTTCTCACAAGCTCTCACTCTTCCGTTTCCACTCCTGTGAAACTCTGGGAAAAGATTTTATTTTCCCCATTAGAATCAGTTTACTTAGCTAAAATCCTTAGAGACATTTCAACTTTGTGTTTTTTATGAGGTCACTTTCAAAGCCTGCCCTGCACACTTAATGGTCTGGATTCTAGACTGAAAGCTTGTATGGGCATTGAGTCATGGATTTTGTTTTTGCAAAAAAAATAAATAAAAACTTATTTTTAAGCTAGCTACATTAAAGAGAGAACCTTGGAGACAGCATTCTTTGCTTCTGAACTGCAGAAAATGTAGACAGTTTGGCATTAGTAAACTTACAAAGTTTTGCCTCTTCATTTACTATATGTGTGAGTCAAGCAAAACTGCTGAAATTTCTCTGGACCTTTGTCTTATCTGTAAAATGGGGTGACAGCACTAAACATCATCTAGCTCATAGAGTTTCAAGAGGAAGAAATGAAATTAATATTTTTTTATTGGAAAGTCAGATTTACAGAGAGAAGGAGAATTAGAGAGGAAGATCTTCCATTCACTGGCTCACTCACCAAGTGGCCATTAGGGCCAGAGCTGAGCCAATCAGAAGACAGGAGCCAGGAGCTTCTTCTGGGTCTCCCACACGGGTGCAGGGCCCTAAGCTTTGGGCCATTCTCTACTGCTTTCCTAGACCACATGTAGGGAACTACTCAGGAAGTAGAGTAGCTGGGACATGAGCCAGTGTCCATATGGAATCTCGATGAATGCAAGATGAGGTTTTAGCCACTAGGCTATTGTTTTGAACCTGAAAATAATACTTTTGAAATTGCTTTCAAGGTGTGATACATGTATAAAAGGAATTAAAATGCCATAAACAGGGGACATCATTGTGGTGTAGTAGGTATGGGTGCTTGTTTGTGTCCTAGCAACACCACTTCCATTCCAGCTTGCTAATGTGCTTTGGAAAGCAGTCAAAGATGGCCCAAATACTTGGGCTTTAAGATCCATGTAGGAAACCTGGAAGAGGCTCCTGACTTCAGCCTGGCTCACTACCAGCCACTGTGGTCATTTGGGCAGTGGATCCGTGAATGAAAGATCTCCACCCCCACCCTGGGTACTTCTGCCTTTCAAATAAACAATTTTTTTTTAACAAAAAGTGTGATACATAGCTTTCTTCATTCAACCATGTTAAGCTAAAGAACTACAATGGCCCTATATCCCTGCATTATTTCTCATGATGGTTAGTGAGCTGTACAGATTCTACCGAGTTAGGTAAACAACAGGTTAAGTTGTTGACAAGCATTCATGAACGCATGGCTTTTGAGCAGCTACTACGGCCTGTAGACTTCACTAAGCATATATCAAGAATCCTGATATTGAGTCCCCAAACAATCCAGAATGTCCCCAACTATAGATGGCTGGACTTAACAAGTTTTGGGCTTAACAAGTTTTTGACTTCACAATGGTACAAAAAATTATATGTATTAGGGTAGAACAGACTTCAGAGGTTAGTGTTGTGGTGTAGCAGGTGAAGCTGTTGCTTGTGGCACTGGCATCCCATGTAGATGCTGGTTCAAGTCCCACCTGCTCCACTTATGATTCCGCTTCCTGCTAGTCTGCTGGGAAGGGCAGTGGAGGATGTCCCCAAACCCTAGGCCCCTGTACCCATGTGGGAGATCCAGAGGAAGCCCCAGCATCTGGCTTTGGACTGGCCCAGCTCCAGCTGTTGTAGCCATATGGGAAATGAGCCTGTTGGTGGAAGATATCTCTGTCTCTTCCTCTCTCTGTGGCTCTGCCTTTCAAATTAATGAATACATTGTTTCAAAAGCAAAATTGTACAACAGACTTGATCTTTTCCTGGGCTATGGATATGGGGTAAGATGCTGTCTCCAACACTGGGTGGTGGAAATAGGTGAACATCTCAGTAAACACTGGCAGTGCTCTGCCATGGACTATTACTGAACTGTGATATTCAATAGGTTAGAAAGATTTAATGCATGTTTCACTCTGGATACTTTCAACTCACAGTGGGTTTACCAGAATAGAATCTCAAAAGGGGGCTATTATTGTTTAAATTTGCTTTAAATTTTAGAAGCCAGAAGACGAGAGAGAGAGAGAGAGATCCCATCTATCGATTCACTTCTCAAACACACTCAGTGTCCAGGACTGAGCAAGGATTAAACCCAGGAACCAGGAACCCAATTCATGTCTCCTATGTGGGTGGCAGCAATACAATTACTAGAGCCATTACTGTTGCCTCCCAGGGGTGTGGGATGCCACTGTCTTAACCACTAGACAAAATGCACTTTCTCAGAGCTTTTGATTTTTAACCTCTGTCCCCTAGGTGTAATTTGGTAGGTAAATTCCCAGATAATATTGCCAAGAAACCAGGAAGCCTCTTCCTCCTATCCAGCCTCACTGTATGACTTGAAAACCCCAAGGCCGAAGAGCCTCAGGTAAGAGCACCTGTCTTGCATCTCCAGCCAGTTGCCATGAAAACATAAGACTCTCCTTGGGTGCAAACATCTTGGGCAAAGACAAACATGCTATGGAAGTGGAGGGAGATATGGAGGCCAAGGTATGTTGTGTTGTGGGCAGTCTGTGTAGGGCCACATTCAGATCTGCAAGGGAGCCTGAGCCTGTTCCACATTCTCTGCAGGCTCCGCTGAGCCTACTGCAGGTGCACTGCTCAGAAGCGGGGCCCTGTTGGAGCTCAGGTGGTGTCCTGGTATTCCACAGCAAAGGGTCTCCTTTTACTTGACAGTACAGCTTCCCCACCCCCACCCCCAAAATACCTTGTAATCTGGATCCTAAAGTGCATGTAGTCATGCCAAGCATTTTTTTCTGAGACTGTCAAACTTTTGTAGCTAATTATCAGTTGGGAGTGTAACAAAAGCTGCCTCTCTAGGCTGGATTTGATTAAAATGCCTCTGATATCAACCAGGGGCTGCAACAAGTGTGAGTGCATGCAATGGGGGTTTCCTTCTCCTCCAAAGAAAGCCCCGCCAAGCTTTATAAACCCAGGCTATTAACTGGAATGACAAAGCCTTACCGAAAGTCAGCACTATCGCTTCCGCTCTTAAGAAACAATGAACTATTTCCTGGCTTTTCTGTTAGGAAGACTTTGGAGGTTGTAAAGGGAACACATGCCACGTAGAATAGATTGGCTAAGGATGAAGCAAGGTGAAGTGCTGTAGAGCAGGCTCCCCCGAGTGGAGGGCAGCTCAGGAACTCACATTTACCACTCAGTGATAGCCCACTTCCACAAGTAAGCCACAGCGAATGCTCAGAGCAAGTCAGCAATCTCAACAACTCACTCTGAAGATTTGGCTCCAGACTGCAGTGTTCCTTGAATGGGTAAGGCAGGCGAAAAGGCTGCTAGTGCCCTGGGGATCTGTAGAGCCTTGGCACTTAAAATGCTGTGAGGACGGCATGGGGTCGGAGTGAGAGCCCTGAGGTGACCCCCCCACCCCCTGCCTGCAGATCATGTGTTGGGGAAGAGCATGGGAGGGAGGATGGGAGGGAGAACAGCTGGTGTCCTAGCATGTCCTTATGACTTCTGACTATAATCAGTAGAAAATTCTGGAGGTGTGATCAGACTCTCAGAGCATATCTCCCCAACCCCATCATTCTTGTCCCTTATCTCTCAGCTCCCTGGCCAGCCCTGGTCATGAAGCCATCCCTTCTTCAGCTTTTTAAATGCCTGGCTTCCCCCATCTTCCCCCCATCTTCTTATCTGAACTGCATCTAAACACTTCAGCTTCTTGCCTTCATAGATCTGCTCAAGTCCCCTCTAACCTAAAGATAAGGGATAGCTCCTTTTTTTTCCCCCATCACTGCAAATTTCCAAACAAATGAACCACCTTTGCACTCCCTGCCCTCTGTTGACTTTCTCTGCAATCTGGATTCTTCTACCAAATCTTCCCTGAAATTACCAAAAATCACAATATCTGCCACTAGCCACACCCTAAAAAACCCTTTTCATGATGATTACGATTTGCCTTTCTGGGGCCTATAGCTGTTTTTCTGACGTCCTTTCTTTACTGGCTCACCACAGAGTTCCCTCTTCACTGTTCTCTGATACCAGTGTTTGTTTGCATAAAAGGAAGATAGAGATACAACTGTGGGAAAATGACATTGGACAATCTCTCCCATGAAGTCTACAGTGGACACTCCGAGAAACCCAGAAATCACAAAGCTTACCTCAGCCTCAAATTTGACTGAAGACTTCTGTTCCTTGGTTTGGCTAATGGCTCTTGATGACTTTTGATCCTTGGCACTGGCAACTGCTTCTGGGAGCTCCTTAAGAAGTTAAACATAGAGTTATAATTTGAGCATTTCACTCCTACCCATATTTCCAAGAGAAATAAAAAACATGTTATAAATGTTTAACACAAAAGCCTGCACATAAGGCTTGCTGTAACATTATCACAGACCAAAGGCAATGACAGCACAAATCCTATCTCCTGACAAATAGGCAAAGAAGATACTATATACCCAAACAAGACATCATATACCCATGCAAAGGGAAGTCCCATTTATATGAAATGTACAAAACTGGACTCCTGCCTCCCACATGCACCTTCTATTGTCTCTTCCCCTTTCTTATGTGTGACAACCGAGCACTTGTCTCCCAGTTTCAATCTCATTGCTTCATTGCTTCGTTGCTTCACTCAGAGATCTGTCTATATCTTCATATACCTTGAAATGTGTCGGGCATACTAATTACACAAACAAAATGTCAAGATATAAGACTGATGTATCTTTAATGTGTTCCTGTGGAAGCTATAGGACCAATTGTTCAGGTTGGGGACAGCATTGAGACTGAACACAGAAAAATTAAAAGTCTTTAATAATGCAAGAATTGCTTTAACCTAAGAAAAATACATGGGAAGTAAGAGATAGGGATAGATACGATAGAGCAGCCAGTACACTTGTTTGTGAATTTAGTTCATAACTCACTGATAGTCATAAGAAAAGAGGGGGTGGAATGATATCTAATTAAGCAGTAGGTTGCTGTAGCATTCCTCTGAAGTTCACACATCAGCCATATTGGCCACATCAAGTCTGACAATAAGTAATGAGACTGATATTCGGAAATACTAAACCTCACACATCCAAATAGGCTTTGGGACCTAAGTCACCATGGGCAACTGTCAGCTACTCCAACAGTTCTGCCTTTCTTGAGAGCCTTGCTGAACTCTGCGGCTTCTGCGTTTGCAGCCAGGATATGAGACACCCAATAGTCTGGTCTCATGACTTGCTGGAGACTTTTTAATTTTCCTCTGGATAGCTTTACCCACCAGGAACATCCGCATTGCTCTCCAGACACCAGGACTACACCTTCAACTTTTAAAAAGACTTTGGGACGTGAAAACAGAAGATTCTCGGCTGAGGCTCATGGTTGGAAAAAACAGCCTTAGAAGCAGCAGCAAATTCGACACAAAGAGAAGTCAGAAGGAGTCTAGTCCTGCCTGGCTGTTCATTTCCAACTTCCTGAGAGTGCACACATCATCAGAACATAACCCATGCACGTTCACCAGGTGTGACACTTCATTCCCAGGGCTCCGAGGCTGGGGAAGGATGTGGGTGATGGCTGTGGGGAAGACGGGGACAGCTTCCTGAAAAGGCTCCGCTGCTGCTTTCCGAGAGAGTAAGCCTGAGAATCTGTGTTCCGGCAGTAACTTCATTCCCATTGCAGGATCCACTTGAACCAGGGAAAGGAAGACATTTTGGAGATGCACAAAGCCATGGACAGTCCAAATAAGTTCAGTTTGGCCTCAACGCGCTCTTCGTTGTCAAAACAAAACAAAAAAAACCAACATTGTGTGCTATTGGTGTTTAGGTTCGTTATATGCAAGTGCAACTATTATCATGACAATGCCAGATAAATAAAATTTGCTTACTTAGTAATAAATAAACATGCAGGATGATCATGTGGATTTGTTTTTGCTTTATGTTTTATTTTGTTTTCTTGAGAGGCATTGAGACCAAAAAAAAAAAAAAAAAGGGTTCATATCCACTGGTTCATTTCCCAAATGCTTTGCAGTAGAGTCAGAGCCAGGGAGCAAAGCTGGGAGCCTGGAACTCCATGCTCACATATCAACGGTGAGGGCCCAATTACTTTAACTGTCATCAGCTGCTTTCCAAGGTGTGCCTAAGCAGGAAGCTAGACTCAGGAGTACAGCTAGTACTCCTGGGACTTGAACCCATGCACTCTAATTTGGGACATGAGCATGCTAACCACTAGGTCAAATGCCCAGCCCCATGTTACTCATGGTGTTTTAACAGAAAAAGGCTCCTATGCTGACCATAGATGCTATTGCTTCCCCCAAACACTGCTTGATACTTTCAAATGACTGTCCTTCATTTATTTCACAGAGACAGACAAAATACGTACCATGCCCCAGACACTGTATAAGCACCACACAAACACAAGGATATTTTTTTTAATCTGAAAATGGAATTAAAAATAAATCTATTGTGATGCAAAAAAAGGTTTAAAATCCATGCCTTGTATGTGACGATTACAGGTGTCCACTGGAGATCACTTAGTGATAAGTAAACATTAAGGAGCTTTTTGAGAATATTTGTCATGGCTCTCAGTTTTATTGTTATTGCTTCTTACAAAGTTAAAAGCATCTTAAGATGTTGAAAGCAATTAGATAAAGTAGTGAAGACCTGGAGCTGGCCCTTTGCTATCGTTTATACACCTGAGGTTCTTGCCAATTATGGTAAAATGTGGGATCTGTAGATGGCACCTCCACCTGTTAGACTGCAATCAGTTGTGGTTTGCACTCAGCCCATAAACTGGATGAGAAATCCTGGTAGCTTTTGTTGTAGAGCTGTGGTCTGTTTTAGTACAGTGCTGCATAATTTGACATTGACCATCGAGATGTTTGAAACAGCTAGGTTTTGGGATTCTTGGGTCAGCTTTCCAGAATGTTCAGCTAGATTTTGGAAGAGTTCTAGTTCTGGCCATACTGGCTTATTATTCTAAATATGCTTTTATTTTTAGGATGTGGACTTGGAAAAAGTTGTCAGATGTAGTTGAGAGGCATTGTAGTAATCTACAGAGAGGCATAGGTAGTAATCGCTTCCAGTTGTATATTTTTGTACTGCCAGACTGTTGCCTTGAGATTTTTCATTTTTTAAGGTTTTTATAATTAAAAGTTGCTGAAGAAAAAAAATTCATGCATAATGCTTTTCATAAAATGCCTTTTGAATTAACTCCCTAAAAGACTAGATAGATTTCAGAATGTATTGCACCAAAATACATTTATCTTTTAATTATATTTTTCCAGGAACTTCTTTGAAATACCCTCATACTAATTTACTTAATCCTAATATCAATCTTATAAACTAGGTACTTTTATTTTTATCTATATTTGACAAATAAGAAATTGAGACAGAGTTGCGTAGCTAAGGTCACTCAGCTAAAACATGGTTGAGACTATACTATTTACCACCAATATTATCTGTCTCTTGAGATTTAACTTTGACAGCCTTTCCGTTCCTGCTGTGTGTGTGTGTGTGTGTGTGTGTGTGAAAGAGAGAGAGAGAAAGAGAGAATTTTGTTTATTTGAGAGAACAGAGGCAAAGACAGACATCTCCCTTTCATTGGGTCACTCCTTAAATGCTACAACAGCTGATGCTAGAGCAAGGAGCTGGGATCCCAATTCAAGACTCCCACGTCGGGGGTAAGGACCACTCCCTTGGGCCATCACTGCTGCCTCTCAGAGTCTGCACTGCTGGGAAACTGGAGTCATGAACTGAGCCCAGGCACTGAACCCCTATGTTCTCATAGGCAATGCAGGCATCTCAACACCTACTGAACGAAGCCTCTGAAATCCCTAGACTGAAGTCAAAACAGAACAAAGCGAAACAAAAGCATGGTTTCTCAGAGCTGCAAATGCCTTAATTGATGATCACTAGCAAAGACATTGTCAATTTTTAAATTTCTTTGAATAAACTTGACATTCAGAACAGTTTTGGAGTTAGAGAAAAATTGGAAAGACCCATACAGAGATTTCTCACAGAGTTCGCATCCGGTTCCCACTACTTCTCACACCTCCCATTGGTAGAGTGGTCTTGTTGTTACTAATGAGCCGATGTTCATAAATTATTGTGAACCAAAGTTGGTGGTTTATTTGGACTTCCTTAGTTTCTATTTAACGTCCTGTTTCTGCTTCAGGATCTCATCCAATGTATCACATTACTCTCATAGTCACATTTCCTTAGGTTCCTCCCGACTGTTTCTTAGAATTTGTTTTTGATGACCTTAATAGTTTTGAAGAGCATTGGTCAATTACTTTGTAAGATGCCCTTCAGTAATGGTAAAGGTGATATGTTTCTTAATGTGGACCAGAGTGTGGTATTTCCTGATGAAGACCACACAACTTCCACTTTCATTAGATGAGATCAAGGGCAGCCATGATTCATGTGACAGCTCCTTGCTGCTGTTGGCCTTAATCGCCTCACTGACAACCCCAAGATCTGTGCTTTACATGGGTCTGGTTCTGATGTGTAGTTTGGCTATTCATACTGCTCTCCCCTGCTCTTGGCATGTTGTGTAGTTTTTAGGATAATTCCATAGATTGTATCAGGTAACAGAAACTAAGGTATGTGGCCACAAGTGTGAGAGCTTGTATGTTAATTTGATTACAAATTGGGCTGTGTTTAACATTTGCTATAACTGAAGGTATTGGAACCTCACATTTCTGTAGAGTCCTTGTTTTGTGCCCCCTTTCTTTTGACTCTGGGCTCCCTTGAACATGTTCCAGATGTCAAGATGGTGGCTTCCCTTAAAGCCTGATCTCTGTGACTTGCCTAAGGAAAGTCACTGGTGGTTGGTTTGTTCAGCTTTTTTCTTACTATAAAGATGGAAGGGACAATTTGCCAGTACTTTCCACACTTGAGCTAATACTAGAATCCTTCTCCAACACTTTGAAGAACAGAAGTCCTTTTTCAGATGGACTCTAATGGAGCTGGGATGCCTCTCATTAGTGTGCAGCCTAATCTAAGTGTTAAGCATTGGAGAATTTTTCTTCTGCATTTTCTGGTCCCATTGAGTATCAATTGAATGTCAAGAGCACCCCTTCCTTATCCATGCTTCCTTGGGGAATTTGAAAGGGTCTTGGGCCATTAAAAAGTAGCATGTCTTCTGATGGATCAGCAGAATCTTGGAGCATTCCAAGAGACTTTTCAGCTGGAAAATACAACAGAAATGGTGGGACAGGTGGTAGAATGTTGTGGAAAGTAATGAGAAGTTCACATGCTTTCTCTCCATATGAACTGTACTCATTTCTTATCAAGAGGAGCAGGTGGCTTGCAGGCAATG